CGCTTTTTATCTAAAACATATCCATATATTTAAATGGACCTTGTTGGAGCATACGTAATCCTAAAATGTAGTATCGTACTACAGATGGCGTTCATCGCGCCATTTGTGGTATTTTCTACTTAAATATTAGCTAACAAATTTTTTGTAAATGTATTTGGACGTTCGGCTGTTTAAGTTTATAAATTTCAAATGATTCTAAAAAATTCAATTTGAATCAAATCTGTAGGATTTTAGGATTTATTCTTTTTGTTGTTCCCTTTAGGTGTGCAGGCTTGTTCCTACCCAGGTACAACAATCAGTGGACGTATGTCGTCCGTAAAGTTTTACTATAAAATAGGAGAAAATATTACGTTCGAGTGCGATGAAGGTTTACAACTGCGGGGAGCAGCCATGCTTAAATGTCTCAAAAATGGCAAATGGTCTAACACTATTCCTACATGCGTTCCTCCAAATTAAGATATTTCCTCTTTAAATGTTTGCAATTGCAATTTATCTACTATTATTAGAACATATCGTATTCATAATAAAATGTTGTTAGATAATTAATTTTAGGTATTAACTTGAAACTTATTGCACAAATTTTGATAGTTTACAATCATCAGGTAATAATGTTGTAAGTTAAGATAGCTTCCAAGTTTCTATGTGAATAAAGATGTTGATAATTGTGATGTTTTCTAATAAACAAGACATTAGTTTGTAACTATTAATATAATAGTTCTGCAGTTTCGTACGAAAACCATACATATAAATTTAGTCATTAAAATTTTATTTTCTAATAAAAACCACTCTTGTTAAATAAGTAAGTAAATATTTTTAGTGTAAAACAAATAAGTTTTTGAAAATCTCAGCTTTAATTACGCGCATTATAATTCTGTTGAATTTATCAATATTGTCCTTCCTAAAAATAAACTTTCAACTTATTTTTACCAGTCTATTTATTTATTTGTAAACTATAAAACTGTTTCTTTGGTGTACCTAAAACTTAAATGAAAATTTTACCGTCACCGAAAACGGATTTCAAAATTGACGGTCTAAAGGCCGTCGTGTGTTGGAATTGCTTCCCAACGTTTCGCTAGCACGAGTGGCGAGATTCTTCAGAGGTTCTTTCATCTTCGATGCTGTATATGAACACTGACGACGCGACGCCTTTACACCCGAATTAGAATAGCATCAATTCACCTACTGGTCACGAAAGCCTTATCGATTTCAAAATTCTTACGAAATGTCACAAGAATAATAAAATCTATAACCTGATATGCTCATTGTTTGTCCCTCAGGATTATGAAGTGTTGAAAACCGATTGCCAAACATTAACGCTATAAAAGATAGAACATCGAACAGAATACACACAGTTACAATACTATTGTTGATTATGCGGGTGGCTAGGTGTTTTACCCGTATAATTAATGAAAATACTAATTTACAAAATAGTAAACACGTAGATATTGTATATGTAGCGTTACTTTCTAAAATAGCTTCCAACAATTAACAAAAAATTAACTCAATTTACAGCAACCATTTATCCAAATGCATAATTGAGTCTTATTCGACATGTTCCAATTTAAAGGGATTTTTGTTTAATATTAATTAATTCAATAAAGAGCATTAAGAAAATTGCAAGAAAATTTGTTTGACACAGAGGAATCTTCCTTTCCTTTAGTAATTTGCAATTCATATTATATTCTCGCTGATCGAAAACATCAGATAACAATTTCTTCATTCCTCGCGCAGTACTTGTCCATGTTTTCATTCAAATCATTTTCAACAATTGTAGCTAACCTTCATCTAACGTGTCACATGTTGCATCTATTACAATGATAATAAAAGTAGCATCTGTACCGACAGGTACCCATTGTATAATCATGTTGTGTATATTTGCTTTGCCATAAACATGGCTGCAAACTATACCTATAAGGTACGCACGTATATACACAGTTATGTTATATTTATGTTACATTTAATTGGTAGAATTATTCGACGGTAAAATTATTAGATTATTCATTTTAGTTTTGCTACTGATGAAGAAAAATTACAGTTTGTTAGCTGTTTTTTGAAACATTTCCTTGGAATTGGAAATTTCAATATCTATCATCACGTGTTAAAATTGAAACAACAAAGTAAGCACGTATATACACAGTTATGTTATATTTATGTTACATNTTTTGCTTTATGGTATGACTTAGAATCTCATATCAATATTAATGAATGTAAATAAGCCGATCTGATAAGTGAGGGATCCATTTTGTTGGTTGGTTTGTTGTGATGTTGTTACAGCGGTGCAATGTCCACCACCAGAACATCCTCGTCATGGGAAGGCCATTTTCACATCATGTAGTTACAACTCTGTAGTAAGCTACGAATGCAAATACGGTTATACTCTTGTAGGGGATGCAACCAGAAGATGTGGAGCGGACAGGAAATGGTCTGGATCGACACCTGTTTGCAAAGGTAAACTTCTATTTTGAGAACAATAAAAAGTTGCGAACATTTTATACTTCTATTTCCTCCTGTGTGTTTCCCCTTTAAAACTGGTTGCATCTGGTACCGATTTCGACCAAAAATTCCATTCTGGTATGCCCTCAAGGCCATACTAGGGATTTTGGGGAACATCCTTTATGATTTGGTCTAGAAGCAACCCATTAAATAACTAATTTGCATGCTGTAATTTCGCTTCATGTCCATTGTTCGTTTTTATTTTGCGCATGTGTAGAGATTAACTGCGGTCATCCTGGTAGACTGTGGAATGGCTGGTTGGAAAATATCGAAGGAGGCACCGGTTTGGGTGCTTCCATTATTTTCCGTTGTCATGAAGGGAAGCGACTGGTGGGACATTCTTCAACAGTATGCCAAATCGATGGAAAATGGCGTTATCCGCTCCCCAAATGTTTGGGTAAGTCCTCGGACAGCTTTCAAGTTTCAGTTTTCATTTACATATGGACGACGAGTTTTAAATTTTATTTTGGATTTTGCGCTCAAATTATAAACGTGCCACTATTAATTAAATAGACCAAGACAATTAATATTGCAGCTCCGTGTGTCGTTCCACAAGTGTCCCACGGTCAAGTGATAATGGTCTCCAGAAATGACACTCCCACTGCTTCGACGTTAGTTAAGGATGGAGAATCACTGACTGTTGATTGCGAAGAAAATTACGAATTCCCCGATATGCACCTGTCAGTTGTTTGTAATAACGGAACGTGGACCCACATTCCAAGCTGCGTTCCAGCGAGGTAAAAATTGCCTGTTGGGAAACCACGTTTGGATCCATGTGCACCTTCTTACTTTTAGATGTAAACACCTCCCCAGAGCACCAAAAAATGGTATGGTAATTGCTCCAAAAATGGAGCATGGGATGAAAGCTAAATTCAAATGCAGAGATGGTTACGAAGTTTTAGGAAATGATACTGTATCTTGTTCTTTTGGCGAATGGGTTGGTGAAATACCGTCATGTCAAGAAGGTGGGTATTATAGAGTCAGAAACCCATAAATCTATTTTACACGCACTCAACTGCTTCAGTATTTTGCCCATATCCTGGCTTTTTTGAAAACGGTAAAATTTTGCTCGTGGGAAATATGGGATTGTACGATTATAGACCTTACGTAAAGAAGATTAAAAATAACAAGCAAATCATGTATGACTGCGACAAGGGTTACGTCCTTACAGAAGGACCACCAGGAGCCACTTGTGTCGGAGGAACATGGAGACCACAAGAATTACCAAAGTAACTTCCGTCTCATAAACACAACTTGAGAATAAGTATTACATAATCCTTTTTTAATCGTTAAGGTGCACTTATGGTCAACATCCTCGATTAAGGTGGAGCAGAAGAAAGAGATCGGCCGCTATAGAAAGCTACAAAAGGGGATTAATAAGGCACCACAAGCTTATATATGGACAAAACAACGGAAAGTACACAAGTTATTACGAAAATGTATTTGAACATTTAAAAGCATACGGCGTTGACCCTGGAAATTACTTTTCGAATAGCACGTTGCGGAAAAGACATAAAAGAGCATTACGAACGGGGGGCAGTGTCAGCAGTAGCAGGACGATTGGAATCAGCCTTAGTAAAAGTAGCAAGTCAACTAGCACGAACAGTAGGAAGAAATCCAATAAGCATGACAACGATGGAAAATTCGAAGAAGACCCCAAAAGGAAATCGCGCGGTAGAGGTCCGTGTGACTCAATTGCGAGCGAACCTTATGTCGTCGTTGAAATTATCAAACATGGTCGAGAGCCAAACGTTTCTTTTAGCTCAGGAACCATCGTAAATGTCGCTTGCGGAAAAGGATACATTTTAAACTTGGAAGGAAACTCGACAGCCAAATGCGTAAGAGGACGATGGAAACCCAGGAAACCCAAATGTGAAATAAGTAACCAGACGATTCTCATTCCAAGTTCGTAAAACTTTTAAAAAGTTCACATTTTCTAGTTCCTTGTCCGAATCCGGACATTCCTCATGCCGTAATCAAATTGTCGGACTCTGAACCGTATGTTTCGAGCAGTGAAGAAGACGAATTTTTAAACGACACTTCGAAATTCCAAAATGGACAGGTTGTCGAGGTCACTTGTGAACCAGGTTATAGCATGCAAGGATCAAGTACAATGCGGTGTTGGCATGGCGAGTGGACGGTGACCACAATGGCCGAGTGTTCTGCAGGTACCTTTTAAATTCAGGAAGACGTTGGGTGTGTTCCGAAATATAACCCAACATACTGGCCAATGCTGATGACGTCATAAATCGACGCCATATTGTACTGGTGTGCCACCATATTGTAGTGGTGAGACGAATGTGATTGTAGTAGTATATCAAACGGGCGTGTGTGCATCAGACTTTGTTGTGAGAAATTTTAATAACTTTTAGAGCAAAATTATTGTAAACGAGCACAAACACTATTGTCAATATGGCGTCAATTTGACATCAATGCACTGGCCAGTATATTTCGGAACGAATAAACAGTATGGCGACGATTCATTACGTCATCAGCACTGGTCAGTATGCTGGGTTATATTTCGGAACACACCCGTTGTCTGTTTTATAGCAATAACATAAATTAACAATGAAATGTTTTAACAGCACCATGCCAGCTCCCCCCAATTCCAAACGGCCAGTACTTGTCAGGATACAGAGAAGGACTTACCATTGCCAATGGGTCGAGTGTTAATTTTCAATGTGACGAGCCGTATCTTAAAATTACGTCTAAACCAATTCAGTGTATATTAGGAGATCTTCATCCTAGGAGGCCTGCTTGCAGATCGCCCAATAGTCCTGACCCGGATGACATTAACTATTTGGGTGGAAGCGACATTATAAAGGGAGGCGATATTAATGTTTTGGAATACGGAAGCAGTGCTAAGCCCTGTGGGCCTCCTGCAAGGTAATTATTTCACAAATCAACAACGAAATACAAAAATTCTCTTCGTTAGTGGTTGAAGCGTTCAGACGGAAGACCAAAAAAGGGTTTTCTAAGTGGTCATTTACTGGTAATAGTTCAGTAGGTGGTACTTTTCTAGGGTGCAAGGTTCTTTGGTTTATCGGAACGGGAAGCCAATGATCGATAACGAAAAGAATTTTCCTCATGGTACGGAAGTAACTTTTAGCTGTATAGAAAGCATAATGGGCGAAAAAACGACTTGGAAGATTATATGCGAAGATGGAAGCTGGATTGGAAGATCTTTAAATTGCGGTAAAATTTTTCGTATATGTATAATTGCTTCACATGGCCCATGTTTAAAATCGATTTGAAATCATGAGATGATAGAAATTTACAAACCAATTCACCACATTTTAATACAATATTGCCACTTCCAAATAAAATAATTATGAAATTGTCAAAATTTCATAGAATGTTCTTTACTTCGTTCTCTGAACGAGCAACTGGTTTGTCCCAATACTACATCCCGACAGAATCCACATCATTTTTCTTTTGTTGTTTATCTGTAGATTCCGATGAGCTGATGTCGACACACAACCTGAACAACAATAGCACGTGCTTATTTAGAAATCAGGAACCCAATGTTGTTTCATTCTATAACGATCAAGAAATCCGAGAGGATGTAGTCGACTTTCCCGCTGGAGCAGTATTGATAAGTAGATGTGTAGATATTGGGAAATATGCAATGACTGGTACATTTCTCAATTTATTTTATATTTTTCGAAATTTTATTCTAAATGCGTTTTGTATTTCTCTTTCTGTAGGACCAAGCAAACGGAGATGCATCGGTGGCGAGTGGGATGGTCCAAAACCTTCGTGCTTCGGTCTTAATCAAGAAAATGATTATTCCATGGAGAAACCGCCCACCATACTGTTTCGACATCAACTGGGACCCATCGCTCAATCCAGCGATGGTAAATTAATAGTATATCCTGGAACAATTCTTCACATGGAATGTCTTTGGATGAGAAGGTTTGGAGTACCGAAGTGGGAAACGAGTACTGATTATAGGTAAATACCGAAAATACATTAGAAATCAAAATAAATAGATAAATAAGCCTGTGATTTCCAAATTTTTACGTTTTAGAATTTTTCACTGTTAATAATAATAGTAAATATTTCCGCTTTATTTATTATTTTCTCGTATGAAAACGTTTTAACCGTTAAACAAGCCGTACCTAGTAGGTACTTAACTGAAGATGACCGCGAAATTAACGATCCAAACATTGCCTTATGAGATAATCATCATCATCAGATCGTCAGTCCTAAGGCTGGTTGGACACGCACCTCCACTCTTTCCTATCCTGGGCAAATCTTCGCATTTCCCTAAAGCTAGAACAGCCCACATCCTTAATTATTTGCGAACAATAATCTAATCTAGGTCTACCTCTACCCCTCCTACCTCCTGTTTCTGCCTCTAATATGTCTCTGACTGGACCTTCATGCATGAGAAGGTGTCCTACCAACCTATCTCACCTATTTCTTGTTGACTTCCATAGAGTCCTCTGTTCTCCTATTCTTTCTAATGCCTCTTCAATTCTAACCTTTTCTATACATGGTATCCTCATCATTCGCCTGTAACACCACATTTCGAACGCTTCTAACCTTTTCTTTTCAGTCGCANAGTTTAAGCAGCATCAGTTTCTTAACAATTTTGACCTGAATTCCATCAGACTTTAATGGCTTTACATCAAAGAATTTTTATAGGAGGCTTATTAAATGTAAAATGTAATGTAGTTGTCAATCGTTGTAACGGATACTACGATACTAGTTGTCTTACTTTCTCAGCTGACAGCACTTTGTACATTATCCATAAGGGGCCTTTTATAAAATACGTCACTGAAAATTTCCCTTTTTTGGACTCCGACTTCCCCTTCATTATTCTCGAACTGTATGCTACCAGTATTTGAATATGTTCGACCATCTGCAATGTAGACACCATAGCCAGAAATCGTTTTACCAATTTAGCATTCTTCATTTTCTAATTAAATGTATACGGTTTTACTCACTTTCTATTGGTTTTATTTAACAAAAAGAATTTAATGATCACGAACTGTACTGGAGAAAGTAACAGAGCGAAAATAAAAGTGAATTTTGGAATCAATACTACTTTAAATATTGATGATTAGAAAGCAGTGAACAGTAAAAAAAAAGAAAGACAATCAAAAGTGGAAATATAGTTGGTGTTATTTAATCTAAATGCATAATTGAGTCTTATTCGACATGTTCCAANTAAATTAACCGTTCGCGAGCATAGAAGTGACTTCTTATGAAATAGTAAAATTCTTATTCTTATTATTGGCAGAATTTTTGTAATAATTAAATATGTATGAATTTTTCTTGTTCTCAGAAAATATCCTCAAGGATGGACCACTGACGAAGGTCGTGATCCTCAATTAGAGTATCGCTTATCAATTTTCCACGCTACAAAAGACGATTCCGGAGTTTACACTTGCGTGACACCAGCCAGATACACTCACGCCGTAGAAATAGTAGTAAAAGGTATGCTGAATGCAATAATATTTGATTGTTTCAATGCTAATTTTGCAGCTGTTCATTGTCCTCCTGTTCCTCAAAGACGAGGACTTGTCGGAAGCTCCGAAAGCACGAAGATGAATACAAAAATCACGTTTAGCTGTGCAAACGGAAACGCCCTCATCGGTTCGTCGGAAGTGGTTTGTCTTCCATCCGGAAACTGGAGTTCGCCTTTTCCAGTTTGCGAAAGTATTAGCTATTCACGCAAGAAGGTAAGCGTTTGGATTAACATTAAAATGTTATTAACAATTTCAGGCATCGAATGCGGAGAAGTAGGACCAGTGTTACCACCACATCTACGAGTTACTGTCATTTCAAGGGAAGTCGGTGGTAGGGCGGTGTTCAGTTGTACACCAGGGTTTGGACTGAGGGGTGCTCTTGAAACCACGTGTCTTTCAACAGGAGAATGGGCGACTCCTTTTCCAACATGCGAAGGTAAATTTGATAATGTTAATGCATCAGTACCATGAGGTCATCAGTTTAGTTGGACCTTAGGGTTGGGCACCCATCTCCACTCTTATTGATCGTGAGCATTTACCAAAAACAATAACATCTCACATCCTTTACCATTTGCTTTCATATCTTAAAAAGTGACCTACCATCACGCACCTCTCCAATTCTTTGCTGGCTTCCATAGGTGTCCTTTGAACAGGAGTCGGGATAGGGGCCTTCATTTCTTAAAAAGGAGTCTACCACTAATCCTTCCATTTCTTCACTGGCTTCCACAGGTGTCTTTTGAACAGAACTCTGCAAACTTTCGAGATAGCTTTCTCTGCTTTAATTTTTTTCCAATCTCTTCTTATTTCTAATCTTTTCTGCTTACGGCATTTCCATGAGACGTGCTCTAAACGTAGACTTATCGTAATCTTTTTCGAATTTCAAAATTGACCGTTGGCAAACACGGAAATGATTATTTAATTTACAATGATCCAAATCCATCTGGTTTGTTAGAGGTGCACTGTGAGCATCCCGGGACTCCTGAAAATGGATACATTCAAGGTTCGGGACCTTTCAAAGCGGGAGACGTGGTACAGTTCAATTGCAACCCGGATTTTATGATGGACGGACAGCCAATCATTGCTTGTCAAGACAATTCACGTTGGTCAGGTCCACTTCCAAAATGTAAGTCGGTTGATAAACTTTTATCAATGGTTTATAATGTGTTATAGTTACTTAACTATTGAATAAAATAATTCGAAGTGG